AGAGAGAGAGAGAGAGAGAGAGAGAGAGAGAGAGAGAGAGAGAGAGATGTGTTGAGATTTGATCTCTGGAATTTCAAAAAAGAATCTGTGTTGTGAAGACAAGATGACAGTTTTCAGAACATCTCAAAGATGTCGGGTCAAAGACAACTTTGAGAAGCGACTACTGCTTAGGTGCCCTTGAGCTAGGCAGTAATCGACTGTAGTGGCGCTGCTCAGCGTCCGGCACAACAACCTGCATAATGTATAAAATACACAATAATCCCTTTTAACATTGTGTTGGATGTTCGAGTTGAGGGAATAAATGCAGACAAAGAGCGTGAGAGGAGGCAGGGGAGGAAAGATGAGAACGGGGGGGAGGGGGGAGGTGAGAGGGAAGGTACGGAAAAAGGTGAAGAAAGCTGAGATGGAGAGAGGGGAGTGTAATGAGGAAACGAGGGAGATAGAAAACGACAAATCACTCACTTTCCGAGAAACACTAAAGCATCTCGATGCTCTGAGTCGTTCGGCACTAATAGGTGTCAAGTTCCTGATTGGAATGTTTTCTCTTGTTTCCTCGTTCTTAGGAAAGACTGAGCTGCATGCACCTTTACCTAATCCTACCTAAAATAAAATCATTACTTTCACAATGTGATGCATTTGCTTACAAAACAGTTTGAAAGGAAAACTGTTTCTGGGAAACATGAGGTCACCAGTGAGCTATTTTACAGCATTAAAAAAAAAAAAAAAAAAAAAAAATTCAAGTGCCCATTAGATGGAACACTTAAGGGATAAGCTCACATTTTTTTTCAAGTAAGTCTTAGAAAATATTGACATGCCCATGTGAGCATTGAAAGAGTTATTGCTCACTGAAATTGCTCCTCCTGTCCGTGAAGATATCACACTGTAAAATATGTTCAAATCTAACACGCGGATCATTCTCTGAGCGCATTTATGTTCCCAGAGGATGTTTGATTTTAATGACGCCAAGCTCCTCTTCTCAAACTATAATAACAGATTTTCCTTTTTTGGCCACTTGGGGGCAGCAGAAACCAGCTGTGAACACAACGCTGACATATCGTTATCTTTTAAATCGATAATTTCACATCCAGCTGTTACGGAGCAACATGATCATTAGGAGTCGTGTTTGTGTTCCAGCATAAGTTCGACATTCACTCTCTTCTAGCCTTGATTTTGGTCTCCACCCACACCTGAGAGAAACATCTGTGTCTTTAGCTGCTAAATGCTCCGCTACGTTCACCAGCTAGTGTCTTATCTGAGTCTGTCTGCTGTTTGCTGCTGAGCAGGAAGGGTAAAGTGGCTTTTTACATGTTTCTGGTTATAGACCTTTGGTCCTGTTCTTCATTATGACAACTGCCAAGTCAAAGCCACGATCAAACACGAATAAGACACAGAAAACACGCAGCAGTCTGTGTCAACCTAGGATATGGGTAGTCCACCGGGGAAGGGAAAAAGGCTAATGTGGAAATAGGCTGTTTATCAACATCAGATTTGAAGTGCAATCAGGCAAGATATAATTCAAAGTAGAAAAACTTCTGAAACTTTTTGAACTGCATGAGGTAAAACCCTGGATGGTGAAATGTGTCTTTTGGAAGCTATTTATTGTAGCTAGTCCGCTTCTGATTCGTCACAGAGATGGGGGCCTTTTTAAAAAAATCCTTTTAATCGTTTTGTTATGCTAAAGCAGAGCATGATGTAGCCGGAGCCGAGCCTGTAATTTAGACACTAAATCACTTCTGCATGGAGTGACTAATGGCAGAGACAAACAAGAACGTTCGCTATACCCTTGTGTTGCGGTGTGTACGTGTACGTGTGTGTGCGTGTTCACATCCACACAAGGCCACTCTCTCCTGTGTCCCTCTCCAGCTGAATTGACTTTGTGCTTTGTTCTTATTCCTTCCAATTGGCACAGAGACAGCTCCTGTAATAAAACGGTGGCGCGCTCAGGTCAAGGTAAAGCCAAGGCACCGGCGGATAATGAGAGGAAAACAACGTCCTCTGCGAGGGAAGAGAGGCCCTGATCTGATCACTTACGCTGAGCAACAAAACAAGGGAGCAGACTTAAGCGCAGCTTTAGATATTTAGATTTTGGAACACACACACACACACACACACACACACACACACACACACTTGAGTGGCTGAAACACAAGGTTGTGCAGTGGGGGGTTTAAATGTCAGCGGACTGAAAGTCAAATTGCCGTTCTTCAACTTGACGGCAGATGAGGCGTCAATAACTCAACACAATGTTGATCTATTACTTGAAATCACTTTGACCCGTCACAAAGAGAGAACACTTCTTCGGAGCTGCACACTGAGCCGCGAGGGTTTGGGAGATAACGGAGCCGGAACAGAAAGTGGCTTTTAGATTTGAGATAATAGACAAATCACAGGTGTGTTAGCGCCGGGCTCGGGTAACCCTGCTGTTCATACAATATTGATTCAGGAGGCAGTCAACAAAGGCATACAAAGGACAAAGCTAGCAGAAATGTGTATTCATGAACTCACACAGATTTCGCCAATGGGCACTGGAGAACAGCCAATACAGACAGACAAAAAAAAGAATGAGCCGGAGATGAAGAATTCGGGTTAACGGCTTAAAAAACTGCCGGTTACTAGTTTTTGGTTTAGAGGCTAATACAGAATACCACAATCATCTAAAGGACTTCACACACGAGACACAACAAGGAGACTTGGACCGCTCTCAGCTTTCACTATCGCATCATCTCAAAGGCCAAATTAGAAACCCAACTAAGACACTTGAACAGACAGACATAACACAAGCTCTGAGGCTCTCAAATATAAAGTCAAATTATTTCAGATCTCGCAGCGAAACAGAGAAAATTCTGTGACAGAGAAGTGCATTAACTTCTCCCCCCTCTTCAAACAAACATGAAGCCAGTGTAATAACCGAAAGCAGCAAACAGCATCCTGCTTCCAGCAGTGCAGTCCCAGCGCAGACCAGCTGCCTGCTCTGCAGACTGATGAGATGAGAAGCTACTCTGACATTTCATCTCCAGTCTTCCACTTCAATATAAGAACTAGAATTTGATTTGATAAATAAAGTTACACTCATTTGATAAAACGGCAAAGTCAAATCTTGGTTTCTGAGGTTGCGTTATTATTAACCCTGTATTAAGCTGTTATCTACGCTTTAATTGATTCATTATTAACTACCAGGTTTGGATTTAGATGGGGCAAACACTTATCTCAATTATTATTGTTCATCACCGGCCACATGCCGATGTTTGTTTTTAATGTAAATGCATAGACAACTTAACTGAAATGTCATTTGTTGTTTTATTTCCGCAGTGATGCGACTTAGAGACATTCCCCGTCTGTCTTTCACCGTTTATATTCTGTGCAAAAGCTGCTGATCAAACTAAACTAGGAGTTTCATCTGCGCCGTCAGTCTGCCGTCATCGTTCTAAGTGTGCAACATTCAAAGTGAGTCTACCGAGGCTGCCGGGGCATTTCTGCATGACAGATACATGACCGAAAAGCTCTTGACACGGCTCAGACTGCGGTCTCTGTGCAGAATGGATGCACAACACACAGACTGGTAACTGTCTGTATTGAAGAGGACTTAAAAACTAGAGATGGAGACCACAAACTCATGTTTACAATGTTTACTGAGGTAATAAATCAAGAGAGGGACTTCTGTTTGCATCAGAGGAGTTGCCATTAGAAATAATGGCAACTTTAAGGCACTTCAGCATTGGCTTCACTTTTTAGACTCAGAGGTTGCCGCCTGGCCGACACAGAGAGACAGAGAGACAGAGAGAGAGACAGAGAGAGAGACAGAGAGAGAGACAGA